AATTTTTTTTTTAAATTTTGAGACTGGGTCTCTAAGTTACCCAGACTGCTGTGACCCGAGACCCTTAACATGCCAGTATCACACATGTACGCAGTCATTCTGTGCTCAGAATCCCCTTGTGAAATATTTGTTTCAGAGTAAAACTTAGAGACTGTTACAATATATACAAAAATAAGTGCACTTTTATTTTTTAAGTGTAATTTTAAAAATCAGAGAGAAACAAACCAAAGCAAAACCAAAGCGCATAAGCGCATCATAAGTGTGTCTGCCCCAAACAACGGGGGCCCAGTCCGTAGGAGGGCCAAGTTCTTGGTGGAGCAGGGCTGACAGGGATGGCTTTGTTTTGTTTTGAAATGGGAGTTTGGGAGATGCGTTACATAAATTCCCCAGAACCCTTTCTCAGAAGTGTTTTGCTTTGCTTCAATACGACTTTGCCTTGGAGATTTCCATGAGCTTTCTATTAATTGCCCTTGAAGGTGTTTGCTTCCTGGAAGAAGTATAGGTTATGAAAACAGAAAACCAGGATATTTTTACAAGAAGCTCAGCTCAGGTTGGAGCCTGAGGCAGGCATTTGAAGGACAGCCTGTCCCAGCTACAAACCTAGTTGAAGATGTTGTTGTCCCTCCCTCCCCTGTAATACCGTCAGCCTGAGGATACCCCACCCGGTGCCTCGGGATGAAAGGGTGTGAGCTGCGATGCCCAAGGCTTCTCAGGGATGGGCTTTGCTCGCTGTTCCAGTACCCGCACCCCACATGCACACAGAGGTTCCCTACCCTTCAGAACTGCAGACTTCGGGCTCCCTGTCTCAGGGGCTCCTCAAGTTCATGGGTGCAGACACAGAATTTCCCTGGCTGTCCGCATCCTCAAGCCACTCAAGCAGACCTAGCAGGCAAATGTGCGGGAGTCCCCGCTCCCCGTGGGGCCCCCTGACTCATCACAGGCCCAGCTGGGGCAGCGCCGATCCTCAGGTTCACCCTCAGTGTTCATCCGCTCCCCTTGCCCTCCTCCCTCCCTGCACACCTTCCTGTCAGAACCCACTCTCCGGTCAGGTTCTGTCCTCAACCACTTACACTTGGGTTTTATTCTAAGGTCCGTCTTTCCGTTCACAGAGGTGACTGCTTCCGGCCATATTTCTCCACATAGGCACTGAGCAGTGCTCAGTTTAAGCAGGAGGAGAGCAGGAGGAGCAGGAGACCCCTCCTTCTGTCTCCAAAACATTGTGGTGAGGCCCACGATGAGGCCTGCACCTCCTGTGTACCTTACACTGTACCAGGTACTTAGCAAATATTATGCCATTTAAACAATGAGTTCAGGTTAAATGATTTAAGACATTGCTTTAGTTTGGGCTTTTGCAAGGGGAACGATGTAATACAGGACACATATTTTATAAGATTATTTATAATAGTCGCCCAAAGAATCATATACAAGAGGGTGCAGGAAATCTGTCCACACACTAAAGACCCAAGAATCCAGCTGAGGGCCTGGATCCCACAGGAATGTCCTGCATGAGTTCAGCTGAAGACCTACAGCCCATAACAATGCCCGCCCCCATGAGTCCAGCTGGAGGCCCAGAGCCCACAATAATATCTCACGCAGCCCTATTTCATGGATCTGCACTGGAAAGGCCCAAAGGTCAGTGGTGGAATCTGGAAAGCCTGTGTCAGCAGGATGAAGGATCTGTGCCAGCAGGCTGAGGGATCTGCACTGGAGCCAGGAAGTGACACTCAAAATAAGAACCAGAGCTCCCCCATGAAGTACCACAGCCATTCTCAGCAACAGTGAGGCCCTGAGCTCCTCTGATGATCAGGACAGCTGAGTTCCCGTCAGGAAAGCCAATGTGACAAACTTCTCCTGGAGACTGAGCAGTGCACCATCTTCCCCTCCGGAGCCAGTAATTGATGCTCAAAGTGAGGACCACAGCTCCTCCAGAGTCACTGAAGCCATTCGCAGTGACAGCATGGTCCCAAGCTCCTTAGATGATGAGAACAGCCAAGTTCATCAGGAAAGCCAGCATGACAAGCTCCTCCAAGAGAACCAACAGCCCCTTACAGCTTCTAACAGCACCCAACTGCTCCTACCAGCTCCCAACAGCCTCTCAACCTCTTCTTCTCCAGTTCTGCCTCTTATGCTTCTGGCAACGATCCCCAGGTGGGCCTCCCACACCCGGTGCCGTGCTTATTAAGTTCAGCTGGGGGTTGCAAGTTGCCCACCAGTTGTCAATCCACCACAGACATGTGAAGTATTTAGCACTGTGTCAGGCACATAGTAGATACTCAACCCAAAGTAGCTATTGCTACTCCAGCCACCGTGGTGTACACCTGTAGTCTCAGCAACTCGGACAGTAAGAGGCTCATTTGCGCCCAGGAGTGTGGGGCCCATCTGGGCAACATGGTAAGACTCTTACTCTTTAAGGAAAAAAAAGTAGCTATTACTTTAAAAAATATTAATCTCCATAGCAACCCTAAAAGACAGGTGTCACCTCATTTTACAGACAAACAAAGCGACTCCCCCATCTCAGTCAGGGGATAGCAGCAGGGCAAGGATTACATCCAGACGTATCTGACTCCTGTGCATACGCTCGTCCCACAACTCCATTTGGATTTCAAGCCCCCAAAGCCTCAACTTAATCTGACAACCAGTGGGCCTGACAATCATGTCCTAAAATGATTTATTTCCAGTATGACTCTGTGTGTGTGTGTGTCTGTCTGTCTGTGTCTCTGTGTCTCTATTCCTCCTCTCTCTCTCTCTCTCTCTCTCTCTCTCCTCTGTACTGAGGGTTACTGCATCCTACTGTCGGGGAGGTAACAGGCCGAGATGAGAAGAAACTCTCTGGCGTCCCGAGATGTCAGAGGCGAGCTCCAGCATAAGCCTCTTGGATTTACTTCTGTTTACTTCCCGGGCCCAGGAAGGAAACCGCGGATGTCTCCAGTCTTCCAGGACGGGACCCATGGCCGAGTGGACGGCTGGTGTATGCTGATGCTCCTTGCTGTGTCTTCTCAACCATCACATCTGGGCTGCTGTCCGTTGCCAGCCCACCAGTGAAGCAGGGAAGTGGGTTTATGGCTTCCCACCAGGGAACTAGCACTGCTGGTTCGCAAAGGCAAAAGCCTAGGTATGGCTGGTGGCTGGAAAAACAGCCGAGAGCCCAGGGCCCAGGCAAGACAGTGCATTCCCTCTCCAGCCTCGTGGGAAGGGAGGACCTTCAGGCTAGGGTGCAGCCTCCCACAGGAGCCCTGCCCAATGCGCGCTGACAGCAGGGATTCTTTACTCCTTGTTGAAAATGCAGTACAGCCTCACTTTTCATGTGGATTGGCACCAGGTGTGGCGGCTCACTTGTGTAATCCCAGCACTTGGGAGGCTGAGGCAGGAGGATCGTTGCAAACTCAAGACCAGCCTGGGCTACAAAGTGAGCTCAAGGCCAGCCTGAACTGCATAGTGAGACACTGTCTCAAGAAAAAAAAAAAAAAAAGATATGGATTAGTGCATTACCTTCTTCCAGCTGAATTCGAAATAAAATGCTTCCAGAGAGCCTTTGCCTCCCACAGGCTGCTGTGTGGTTCTCACATGACGGTTGGGTGGGGGAGGGGTGTGCAGCCCTTGCTAAGATCAACACTCCCTGCCTCCACCCCCAGAGATACAGAAGGATGGGCTCTCAACAAACCCCAGCAAAACTCCAGAGACTGCCTGCCCCCTTCCAGACTGTCAGGGAATCGTTTCAAGCCTCTTCCCAGTTTGCGTTTCTTGCTCACGCTGGCTGCTGGAGTAGAGGTCATCCTTGGGGGTCCTTTGGCTCTAAGTCACACAAGCTGTGTAGACTTGGTGGTAAAAAGGCTTCCTTCCATGCAGGAGAACATGGGTTGCATTGTCCTCGTTCAGTTTTACTCTTTGATATTCTTTCCCTAAAATCTCATTTCTGAACCTAACTGGGGCTCACAACCGGGCTGCTACCACTGATCAGTGAGATCTTGAGAAGACCTGGCAGCTGGGCCACTGCTCCGGGGGCTGGATCTTGGTCTCCGGGGTCCAGGTTGCCTGAGTAACTGGCTGGGAAAACCAGCTGTGCTAGAGCTCCTCGGCTGAGCAGGGCCCATGCGCAGCCCTCGCTCTCCCGGACTCTGATGGCATCAGACTGTGTGGGCTGCCACAGGGTCTGGTGCTGGGCACAGAGCCCAGGCAAGGAAGGCAGGAACAGGGCTGGAGGCAGACCAGGGGAGAGACAGGGGCTCAGTAAAACCTGGACTATTCCTCTACAGATCCACCGAGCCATGAGAAGGGAAGGTCGGGAGCCAGGTTCACCCAGTGATAGGGAGACAGCCCATCGGGGAAGACAGTATGTGGGAACCAGAGGGCAGCCTGGCACGGGTAGGAGCTGAAAGCACACCAGGAAAATAGTCAAAAACCAGCCCATGGGTATCCGACACTGGCCCATAGGAAGTGAGTAGGAAAAGGACGACCTTTCCAACAAACGGTGCAGGAGCAAGTACATTTAACCATATGCAAAAGTGAACCTCAGTCATTACCTCATTCCATGCAGTTTGAAATTGATTGGTAAGAGCTAAAACTATAAAGCTTTTAACAGAAAATCTGAGTGACCTTGGATTTGGCAAAAATTCTTTCAAAGCACAAGCAACAGCAGTGCAACTTTAATTTAATGCTATTGAACTGCACACTTAACAACGGCTAAAGCAGTAAATTTTATATATATTTTATCACAATTTTTTTTTAAAAGGTAGAGAACATCTGCTCAGATACTTGTCTAGGGGGAGGTGGAGAGAGGCATGATTCATGAAAGGAAAAAAAAATCAACAAATTAGACTTATCATAATTTAAATTTTTTGTGGGTAGGGTGGTACACACTTGTAATCCCAGCGACTCAGGAGGCTGAGGCAGGAGAATCACAAGTTTGAGGCCAGTCTGGGCAATTTAGCGAGATTCTGACTCACATCAAAATAAAAAGACCCGAGGGTGTAGCTCAGTGGCACAGCATTTGCCTAGCATTTTGTGAGGCTCTGGGTTCAATCACTGGTACCGCACACAGAAAGGAAAAAAATCAAACAAAAGACTATGCCAAATGTTGGAAGAATTGGAGCAACTGGAACTCTCATCACTACTGGCTAGAATATAAAGGAGCATAACTACTTTGGTAAGTAGTTTGGCCACTTCTCACAAGTTTAACCTTCTACCTATTAAATGATCTAGAATTTCCCTGTCTAGGTATTTGCCCTAGAAGAAAACAGAAGCATATGTCTACAGAAGATTGTACTTGAAGGCTCATAGTCACTTGATATGTAATAACTAAATACTATGAACAGTTTAAATGTCTATCAAGGGGTGAATAGATAAATTATAGCCTAACACAGTATATAATGGAATACTACTCAGCAAGAAAGAGGAATGAACTATTGGTGCATGCAACACGTGGATGAAACTCAAAATAATTATGCTGAGTGAAAGAAGTTAGACCAAAAAAGAATACATGCTGCCTACTTCCATATATAAAAGTCTAGAAAATGCAAATTAATCTATGGTGACAGAAAGCAGACAATTGGTTTCCTAGGAACAGAGTAGGGTAAGGAGGAAGAGATGCACTACAAAGGGGCACAGGAAGCTTTGCGGAATGGTGGACATACTTCCTGTCTTTTCTTAAAAATTTATTTATTTTTGATATTCATATCTTGATTGTAGCAATGGTTTCATGGATATATACATAGGTCAGGAAAATTGTTTTCTTTAAATACATGCTATTGGGGTTGGGGATTTAGCTCAGCGGCACAGCGCCTGCCTGGCCAGCACAAGGTCGTGAGTTCAATTCCCGGTACCAGAAAAAAACCAAAAACCACAAAAAAGAATTTAAAAATAAATAGATACATGCTATTAACTGCATCCCCATTATAATTCAAAGAAAACCTTTTAGAGAAAGAAAAAAGAAAGAGAAAAAAAAAAATCTACCATCTGCCTTCAGAAGGCAACACAGGGTCACAGCTTTTGCGCGGACGGTGGAGCCTTCACTAGGCCTGGATCCCAGCTCTCCGACTTGCAGATGGTGTGATCTCAGCCAAATCATGTGTTCTAGCCAAGCCTTGCTCTCTTCATCTGCAAAACTGGAGTGGTAATAGTGTTGTGAAGACAAAGTCAGTTGGTATAGAGAACAGTAGCTAAAGCATGGTAAATACAGTGGGCCCTTGTTTCACAAACTTAATTCTTGCCAAGATTCTCGTCACAAACCGAATTGGACAAGAATGGAATCAAATTTCCCTGTCGGGTCAGCAGTGAACCTAACCACTAATTTTGATTTGGTTTTCGTTCAACTCAGTTTGCAAGCAGAATTGCAGAAGGAATTAGGTTTGTGAACCTAGGTACTGCTGTATTGGCTACCACCGCGATCACCCTCATCAATATCCTCCTCCTCGCCACCACCGGTAGAGCTGCTGATTGAAATGCACAGCGGAGGGATGCAGTAGTACAGATCCACATTGGAGGGAACGGGTGAGAAGCTAAGAATTCAAGGCTGGTGGGGACACCCAGTAACCTCGCACCTCTAGGCCTAACGTTTTGAGGCAAACTCCGCCTTGAGGCCAGTCCCCAGGCTTAGCCAGGCTGAACACTGCAGGGGAGAAAATACATGGACACACCTGGTTTAAAGTGTGTGGGCAGGAAAAGAAAAACACTGGTAAGCAGCACAGGGGCCTTCCCTGAAGGCCGCAAGTTTCCAGCCAATACCCTGCTCTTGTTGCATTAGTCATATTTGAAGAAAGACTTTCCTCTGCCCCTCTCACCAGGGAAGGGGCTTCCTGGCATAGCAGAGGGACTTCCTTTCTGCCTTCCAAAGAAGGACTAAGCGGGGAAAGTCAGGAGCCAGGCCTGTGCAGAGGAATGGGTAGGGATCCCATCTAGGAAGAGAGTGTGTGGAAATCACATGGTTCCAGTTAACTGCCTCGTGGCTAAACCTCAGTTCGCTGTGGATCTAGGTGACACTTGAGAGGACCACCACCTTCTGAGCTTCTTCCAGGTCTGAGTGACGGGGGCTCCCACTCCATCCCTGCCCCAAACGGTGACAGGGCAGTGGTAACGCTGCTGGTGACTGGCTCTTCCTGGGCAGGCCAAATGCAGGACGTGGGCGGAAGCACTGGACAGGGCATGGGGGACATGGCTGGTCAGAAACCCAAGGTGCTTCATCATGGGGCCAAGTCAGTACAGACTGAAAGAGCATGGTACTAGCAGGTGGGGCTGCGACAGGATCCAGCTGCCCCGAGGCCTGGGCCCACGCAATTCTATTCTCTGGGAGAAGATCCTACAGGAGCGTAGGCAAGAATTGGGAAAAGGGTGGTTCAAATCAAGATGGCGCTTGCCGAGCGTGGTGGTGCACGCCTGTAATCCCAGCACTCAGGAGGCCACCAGCCTGGACTACACAGTGAGTTCAAGGCCAGCCTGGACTACACAGTGAGACCCTGTCTCAAAAAAAAAAACAAGATGGGGCTGAGCCAGGCCAGTGCGCCCGCCTCTGAGAGGGCGTGAACCTGATGGTGTGCTCTGTGGGAAAGTGTCCCGACTTGGAAGAACCTCAAACTCCAGCTCCCCGCTCTACCAGTTACCTACCACTTGCCCCACACCAGCCTGCTCTGATCCCCTCGTGCCCTGGTGGCGTCCTCCAATGGCGTCACCTGGGGTTTCCTCGCCCCTGGCTTCTGGATGGGGTGGGCCAATGTGAGACATGGCAAGGGCGGGGTATGTCTCTCCTGTTCCCTGCTTCCTTTGGAGTCTGGTCCTGGCCGTGACTGTGTCCCTCTAGGACTCTAGATCCACACTGTGCCTCTGGTTCTCACCCCGTCTCTAACACAGTCTTTCTCCTCCTTGACCTGCTGAGCGTCCTGCTGTTGCTAGTCTCCGCGTGCCCTTCATTTGTTCCATTAGCTCTGCCCTCACCCCTTTGAGTGAAGTTTCATGGATTCTGTTCCACACCAGGACAGCTACTGGCTGGCTGCCTAGTAACCTGGGCAGCAACATCCGGGCTCTGCTTCCTCATCTCCGGTGGCCTACGGGAAGTTGCACGCACTCCGGGAGATAATGCACACAGTCAGCCACTGCTCTTGTCCTGTGTGAGGCCCCAGCAGAAGGCCTTCAGAAAACGGTGACGCAAGAATTCTGCAGGTCTCCTACCTCTTGCCCCTGCTCCCTGAGCCCTTCTTCTCATGAGATAAACTCTGTGCGCTCAGACTGCCAAGAACAGGGCACGCACCCCTCCAGCAACCGTCACGCAGGCCTGAGAGGGTAGGTGGGCACTCTGCCAGCCCAGCACATCAAGCAAATGTCTCCCAGCAAAGGTCAGCCTGCCCAAAATAAGGAAGTACCTGGAACCAGAAAAGGTAAATCCAAACCCCAAAATACAGACACCTAGCATTTCAATCAACACAGCCTGCAGTGCCCTTGGAAAGCACTGTTTATGCGACAACAAACCACTTAAATGACCCAAGGTTGGAACCACAAGGACTCCTTGGATGGCATATGAGGGACACGGCTGGTAAGGACTCCACAAGGTAGCAGGGTGCAGCTGGGTGGCTCCTCTGCCTCTCTGCCTTGGAGCTGCCAGTTTCTCCCCGAGGGACCAGGCCCTGGGGGCGCTGCTGTGAGCGGCGTGTCTGGGGAAGACCCCAGGCTCAGTCAGTGCAGCCTGCTTCATCCCAGGTACTCACACCAACTCTGTGTTACCCTTAAGGCAGGAGGAAGAAAGCAATTATTTCTCCCTGGGGATGGAGTTGAGAGGAAGGACGCTGGTGTGATGATCAAATCATGGCCTGGAGTCCTGAGGGCGAATCCGGGCCCTGACACTAATTGCTGTCTGACCTTGGCAAATGTGCTTACCCTCCCAGTGACTCTGTTTTGCTGCCGAAAGATGAGGACAATAGTGACAACACGCCTGCCTGGTAGCATTTCTGTGAGGATTGAGTGAGTTAATCGATATAAAGTGGTTGGAACTGAGCCTGACGCAGGGAGAGAGCCCGGGTACCCACTGCTGCTTCACGGATGGTGCACCAATTTCAAGGGGGGCTGCAGCAACCCCTCCCATCCCACACGCCCTGTTCCAGAGTCCCTGCCCGGACGAAGAGGTGGCGTTTCCTTTCCCGCTGAATCTTGACTGGCTTGGATCTCGGTGGCTCTATGAGTTGTGGCAGAAGTGACAGTCTTGGACTTCTGGGCCTTAGGAGCATTTGCAACTTCCATGCTATGAGGAAGCACAAATCACACGAAAGACTGGGGCAGGTCCGGCTGGGATCTCGGCTGACAGCCAGCACCCAGCGCTGCTTGTGTGACTGAGGAAGCCTTTGAGGTGACTTGCTCCAGCCCCAACCATTGTTTGACTGACCCTGCACGAAAGCCACTGCGCTGGGGCCACTCAATTCCCACTGCTGTGAGGGATAATCAAGTGACTACTGTTGGGGCTGGGGATTTAGCTCAGCGGCACAGCGCCTGCCTGGCAAGCACGAGGTCGTGAGTTCGGTTCCCGGTACCAGAAAAAAAAAAAAAAAACAAAAAAAGTGATTATTGTTTTAAGCCATTGAATTTTGAGGCAATTTGCTATATAGCAATGAATAGTATGGCTATTTTAGTGATATATAACGTCTTTGTCCCTTACCAAAGTGCGAGCTAAAACAAAATAGGGACTGAGTTTCTCTGTGTGAGTAAGGAAAGCTGCACTCAGAAAGGTGAAATGACTTGTCTAAAATTGCACATCCAGTAGCTGTTCCAGTGAAGACAAGCTCTCACGTCTCCTGACGCTTCCAATAGGTGTCCTCTGTCCTGTGCCACGCCGCTGTGGAGCAGATCCCACGCACACAGCTCTGCATAGCGTCCTAAACTAGGCCGTACTCTACAGTGATGTCATCTCAGGACTTCAAGCCTGGACTCCTCTGAAACAGATAGTCGGGGTGGGGTTGCTGGCAACAGAACTCAGGGTCTTGCGCTGAGTTATACCCGGCCCACAGATGGTCTTTACGTGAGGTGTTGGAGCAAGAAAGGACTGTGGCATGACTGCGAGAACTGGAGAAGGAATTCCAGAAGGAGAAAAGGCTTCTGGTCTACTGTGAGCTGGCCCTGTGCAGAGCCGGCAGTAGCTCTGCTGGCAGAGAATGGGCCAGAGGAGTCTGGGAAGCAGAGATGAGCGGGGTAGGCCACCCAGGGCCCTGTATATGGGACAGGACTTCTCTGTTGAACTCAACGTGAGAAGTTGCCCCTCTGCTGGTCTCTCTTAGTCCATCTGCGCTGGGTAAATTCTAAATAGTAGAAATGCATTTCTCATAATTCTGGAGGCTGAGAAGTCCCAGAGCAAGGCCCCAGCGGGCTCAGTGTCTGAGGAGGGCCTGGTCTGTCTGCTTCTAAGATGACCCCTTCTGGTTGTGTTCCCCAGAGGGTCAACATTGTGTCCTCACATGGCAGAAGGGACGGAAGGGGTGAACTTGCCCCTGCAAGCCCTTTCATGAGGCATTAATCCATTCACGAAGTCAGAGCGCCTGAAGACCCCAGCACTTCCTATCACCTCCGTGGGGTTTGAGTTTCAGTATGAACTCAGGAGGGACGCACCCAGACCACAGCATGTTCGAAACAACGGGCTAAGCCAGGGGAGAAATGGGCCCAGGAAGAGACCTCTGTCCCCAGAGCCAGCCGTGTCAAGGGGAGGCACCCATGACGCCGCTGAGGAAGATGGCGCTGCTCCTTCTGTCTCAGAATCCAAGGCTGCAGACCACAGGAGACAGAAATGCTCCATCTGTTCTCCGCTGTCCCTGTCCTTCCTGTCTTTGCCAGTCTCCAGTTTCTGGCCAGTGGAGGGAAACATGACAATTAGGATTTCTCTGGAATCTTGGCAACAGAACCCAGGCTTTTATTAGCGTGCAATTTTAAAAACATGGCACTGACTTCAGTCACAAATAAATTAAATTCTGTTCAGCACCTTGGCCTCTCTAGTTTAACTTACCAAGTGATTTACTTTATTGTGCCTTTAACCCAGCCTCTCTGGCAGCTGACCTTTCAGTGGTGTCATTTATCTTGTCTCAGGGGTGCACATCACAGGCAAACCTGAAGCCCCCACTTAGAAACAATACGTAAAGCGTACCTGTGTTTTAGACATACACTCCATGGGGCGCAGCTTAAGACTAAGGGCCCAGGGATACTCCAAGGACCAACGCCAATGTGCGCGTCATCTAAAGTGTTACAGCCTCACTTTCCCCGTGTGTAAGAGCGGGAATGGTGTGGGATTGCTCCCTAAAAATAAAATTCTATGCTGAAGCATTTGACTTTAGTCCATGAGTACGGAGTCCTTTCCGTGAACAGACTGAGGTAATAGAACCACAGAGGAAAGCAGAACATAGTCCTTATTCTCAGGACTTCAGTCCACTCAGGGAGAGAGGACTCACACAGCAGCCAGTAAAAGGCTGGCAAGAGTGGCAGCATGGATTGCAGAGGCGATGGATGCCGAGGTCAGCCAGAAAACGACGCATGACAGGCGTGGTGGCGAATGCCTATAATCCCAGGCAGCAGGATGGAGAGTTTGAGGCCAGCCCGGGCTACATAGCAAGACTTCATCTCACAAACAAAACAAAACACACAAAAAACCTGTGAGTAGACTGTATCATTTAATCAAAAATATTTTCTACCATCCCTGCACAGCTCCTCCCTATGGGAAGAGTTACCTCCCAGCAACGCCGGTGTCAGACTTGGCCAGACGACTTCATTTCCCGATTGAGCTGATACACATCGCACCCCAGTGGTTTTCAGAGCCATCAGGAGTTTCCTGTGGTTCACAGGCCCCTCCCACAGGTGAACCCCACCCCTTGGAGGCCCTGTTTCTTTAGCCTAAACATGGAATGAAGTAATGAATGGAATGGAACCATAATGAATGATGAACATCTAACATACATGGGAAATAATCCTTCCTGGTTGGAACTGTCTGTTATACAGCATAACTTGGTCTAAACTGACTGACAAAAGCTTCATGCAGAAAAATCTGAAGACCAGTTATGTATTAAGTGTCTTGTATACTAAGCAAAGCCCCGTAACAGGAGCCAGAAATATTTGTGAATTTTGTTTTGCTTTTTATTTTCATAAGACAAGGTCTTGCTATGTATTCAGGCTGGCCTTGAACTCACTTTGTAGCCCAGGCTCGCCTGGAACGCCCAGTGATCCTCCTGCCTCAGGCTCTTGGGTGCTGGGATTGCAGGTATGTGCCACTATGCCTGGCTGATTGTGATTTTTTTTTTCCCCTGGTACCGGGAATAGAACTCATGACCTTACGCTTGCCAGGCAGGTGCTGTGCTGCTGAGCTAAATCCCCAGCCCCATGATAGTGATTTTTTTAAGTCAAAAATAGTATTAATGAATATCCTTTGTATTGAACTTAATGGTGCACACAATATTTTTTTTTTCCACTACTGCGGGTAGAACACAGGGCTTCACACATATTAGGCAAGCACTTTACCATGGAGCTGGTTTCCCCTTCTGTGGGAAATTCTGTGGATAGGATGTGGATGCAGGGCTGAGACTCATCTGAGAAAAGGAGGAAAGGAGTGCGACAAATGACAAACAACAAAATAGTGAGTATGGACAAAAATAAACTGAATTAGCATTGGTGCAGTGGCGCACACTTATGGTCCCAGCACTTGGGAGACTGAGGCAGGAGAATCGCCATGAGTTTAAGGCCAACCTGGACTACATAGTGGGTTCAAGGCCAGCCTGAGCTACATAGTGAGACCCTGTCTCAGAAAAAAAAACAATCAACCAATCAAACTGAATTAATTTCTAGCATACAATCCAGATGATCTCCACTCACTGCCAATGTGACTCCTGATCTTCTGGGCCCTCTACCCCGACTAAGCTCCCCAGCACCAAAGCTGGGGTGCAAGTTGTAGAACTGAACCCAGGTCAGTGCAGCACAGCCAGAGTGGGGCGGGTCATATCAACCAGACAGACGTGACTCAACCAGCTGCGCTTGAGATCTCAGGCACTGTGGTTTGACCAGGGCAGGTGACCTAGGGCTAATAGGGTCTTCCTACTCCCGTCCTGCCTCTGGGAGTGCTGAGTGGTTGATATAGTGCCAGGGATGAGGATCCTTCCCCCCAGGAATATCCCACTCTAACTTGACTCTCATTGGATTCCAGCCTCCTTTGTGTACCATCTCTTGTTTGAGACTTTCATGCACGATGAAAGTAGCTTGGGTTCACACACTCTCCCTTTTTGAGACAGCATGCATCAGTACTTACTAGTGCCACATACCATTTTAGGGCCTTTGCGTGAATTACTCCAATACCATAACTCGACTGTTATTATGTCCACAGTACTGATAAGGAAGCTGGAAAATTTTGGTGCAGTTACTATTTACAGGGCAATGACTCAAAGGGGTGTCCTGAAGCATATTGGAGGAATTGAAGAGATCAGAAGGTCAAAATCTGTACACACATTTGGTCATATTGTAAATGCATGGCAACCTGGCTGGATGTCTCAGGGAGCCCCCATTTTTCTTTCCCTAGCTAAGAGGAAATTTACTCAGGGGAGAGACAATTGGATTGGGAGCTGGAAGTCCTGGCACTCAAAGTCTGAACTTGTCTCTGATTAAGTGAATGACTTGAATAGGTACCTCCCTGAGCCTAGATTCCCTATCAATGCAATGGAGGTTGAGGGCTGGCACTGGACACCCAGGGACTTTGCCGTGGATTTACTATAAAGTCAAAGCCAGCTCAGGGACTGCTCTTCCAATCTGCACATCACCTTCAGTACTCTTAGGCACAGTGCTTTTGATCCATTTAATTATAGAGAGTAACTGCAGCAGGATTTTGCAGTTTCCTCATCCGCAGTGGGGGTGAGAGTAATGACCTCAGGTCCAATGACACCTCTAGTCTTTGGCCCGGCACTGTGCAGAGCAGCTGGGAGAGGCATTCCTGGGAAATGAGCTGGAGGCTGCTACAGTTGGGCTTTTTTCCCGAACAGCTGGTGCAGAGAGCAGGGCGGGTAGGACAACCTCTAAGAGCAACCAACCGCGGTGTCTATCAAGGACGACCTAGATGGCCGCTAGCCAGCCACCCATGCATGCATTTTGCGAGCTGTCCTTCTAAGGGATTTTGCTCTCCTTCTAAGGGCTTCTTTCTCTCCAGAACGTGGGGAAGTCTCTCACTCCACATCTGTACCCATCCACCTGGCAGGGCTTCCATCCAAACCTCCTCTTTCCCTGCGGCCCATGTGCAACCTCTACATGGGCTTCAAGACTACCAGTAGAGGAGGGGGTTGCAGGGAAAGTCACAGCCCGTATCCCTGCTCCTGCTCCAGGCACTACAGAAGATCTTCGCTTTTCCCTAAGGCTGCAAGTTTAACCCCTGCAAGGCTGCAGGCTTGTGATAGTAAGCAGAAGAGCGTTAATTACAGGAGAAAAGCAACTGATTGGAGATGGCCTATGACTCTCCTGCCGTGCCGTGGCCCTCTTGACTTCCTGCCTGAATGCAGAGCTAACTTGACTCCCACAGACAGGAGGGCTCTTGGCCACATCTCCCCTGTCTAGACCCAGGCTCCAACCAACACTCTTCTATAAGAAGAGGAAAGCCTCCCTTCCACCAGGCAGAGGGGTAGCTCTGTCTGCTCCCGCTCCCATTATAGCCCTTTATATCAGCATGCACGGACATGTATTTTCTCTTGTCTCAACCTGTCCATCATAGAAGCAGGGCCTTTCCTCTGCGTAATGTAAGATCCAGTACTTTTCCCATAACCCAAAGCAGTATTGGGCGGATGCAGCTCAGTGGCTGAGTACTTGCTGACCACGTGCGTGGCCCTGGGTTTAATGCCTAGCAGCACCCCCCAAAACAAACAAACAAAACAGCTTTTCCCTTAGAAGGATTTACCCTCTTCCCCCAGCTGACCAGGAAACAGTTAAAATATTGGAATTACTGTGTGCCCTGCTCCAGCAGTCCAGCTTGCAAGAGTTTGACGGTCTAGCACGAGAGCACCCTGCAAAGACATGAATGACCAGACTTGGGCCAGTCACAGGTAGAAGTGACAGTGCCAGTCAGCCTGCACAAGAGGTCTTTGCAAGAGGCAAGGTTTTAAACTAAGCACACAGGGAGAATGGCCTTCGAGTCACAGTACGTGACTTCATCAGCCAGCAAGACCAAATTACCCCATGTTTATTTTTAAAGAGTCAATGACCTATGAATAAACAGCACTTGACATTGAAAATTGCCACATTAAATACCGAGCTCCTCTAGCCAATTACAGCAGCCTCCGGAGCTCTTCCAAATTGTCACCTAGGATGAATATGACAGCAAACAATGCTTTTAAAAGTAAGTAATCTGCTCTATAATTATTTTAGCGGCTGCAACTGCCAGCCAGCAGGATCTCTTATGAAAAAGGACACAGTCGTTCCTTATTAAAAATGCATGAATATACAGCCTCTTGATTGTAGAAATAATCAGCGGACTCTCTAATGGAACAAGACTTAGCCATAGAAGAATTAATTAGAGTGAAATTGATTAAGAAGAAGAGGGTAAAAATCTATCTATGATGATTCAGGCTCCAATTAAGCTCAGCATTAATTCTCACATTCTTTTTAAATTAATAGCTTCATCTAAGTGCTCTGCATTAATATTCCAACAGACCCCACCTTGATTTAACCAGATAGAAATGCAAACATTTCCAGTGGAAGCTGAAGATCAGGTTCTTATGGATAGTCAAGTGTTTGTCTTAAGGATTTCAGGAAGCTGGAATTTTTAAGATTATTTTAAGTCAAAGGGGGTGGAGTGGGCAGTGAAATCACCAAATTCCTTCTGGCTTTGAGCACTGAAGACTTTTGTTAGATCATTCAACAGCTAAGGCAAGTGTGCGACACGAATAATTATGGGGCAGCCACCTGAATTCTCCTTGGTGGTTATCTGCTCCAGAACGGATAAGGGGACCTTGCAGGCGTCATATATTCCATTGCTTGCCTTGAGACAGAGCTGAACCGAACCAGAGATCCATAGGTAATTAGCTACCATCTCCTGAGAGGCCTCCAGGGACCAGAACTCTACCGCTACTTTCATAACCTACCCGATCCAGTGGCAAACGGAAAGGCAGCTAATATATTTCCAGTGCTCCCGGCTGACAGTTCTCCCCCACTCTCCTGGCAGCCATTTGAAAAACACAGAAGCTCCCTGCACCATTGATTTTTCTCTTTCACTGCCTCCATTAGGAACCCGCTCCTGGTTCCTGGCTCTGGGTCCCAACTGTGCTTACGTTTCACAGGTCACTGACCTTTCCTCGTTCCCCTAGCGACTGCTGCTTTGCAGCCCTTCTTTCATCTGCTGCCTTGGTTTCGTCCTGTGGCTGGTAAGGCTGAGTACATCCTTTGTCCTGGCCGAGACAGGCAGCTCCTGGTTAAGAAGCACCCAGAGGGCTCGAGGTCTCCCCTGGCCAGGATGCTCCCAGTTACCACTGTGGAACGGGACCCCCAGGGCGAGGTGCTGCAGGCCCCGGCAGTCAGTGACCAGGCAGTCTCAGGAGCAAACCGAGGTAGAAATGGGGAAGAGGCAATTTCAAGCCCTTTGTTTTCTCTTGGTGCCCATTTTAGCTGCAGACGGAGTTGTTCACTGAGGCCTTTGATCAGGGCCTGCCACTGCTTTGGGGAGTTTGCCAGGCGTGGCCAAGGGAAAGGACCAGGCCAAGGGAACAGCACAAGTGGCAATTTTGTCTTCCTGAGCCAACAAGGGAGGTCCCATCACACTGATGACAAATTCTCCATGGTGTCCCTCCCCACGCAGTCTGACTTGCTGGTCTCAATTGCTTAGAGCATGGCTGGGCAGATGACCCAGGAGGGAGCTGGGGTAGGTAGGTTACTATGGAACTGTGGAGTAATTTCACTGAGAACCCCAGGAAGAAGCCCAGACAGTCTCCTTCCCTTTGCGTCTGGCTCCCCTCCCTCACCTCCTCCCCAGGCAGGACTTTGAAGGACAAAGGAGGGACATGGAGAGGTGGCAGGGCTACCTTTTTTACTCAGGAAGCTGCTTTAGCGCTATGTAAATTTCCAGATGCAAATGAATAGTGGGGGACAGGGACGTGGAAGCATCCAACCCCCAAATGCAAATAGCCATGGGGGGCCAGCCAACTCCACCCACATCCTGTCCAGGCCAGTCCATAGCCAGAAGCAATCCTTTCTCTCAGAGCTCATCCACCTCCTGATTCTGGTTTTGTCTCATTCAGATCTTAGCAAATTGCTTCTGAGCACCAATCTGAGACTTTGGCCTTTTCCTCAGTACCGAGAAGGTCGCAAGAGAAAGATGTGATCCCTGCACTCAGAGACATCACAGCCAACAGCAGGATGACACTGAATCCATGGAAGCAAGTGAAAACCACTGTGAATGGTCTACCGCAGCGTATCCAGCTGAGTGCCATCAACTTCACACTGAAGTTGGAGAAAGGCAGGAAGCCTCGGAAGTGGGCTGACGCGATCAGGAAGACCCCAGGGAGCAGAGGTCTCGAAGATGAGTTGGCTGAGGAGAAAGAGGAAAGATTCCAGTGAGGAGCAGGCCTGGGCAGACACAGGCTGGAGGGCACATGAGGGAGTCCTTCCGCCTGGCTGGGGAGTAACGGAAGCCAACCTTTGCAAGACCTTGAATGCCAGGTTTAGACGGTTTTAGGCTGGATGGTCAGTGCTCACATGCTAGCGTGCTGCAGTGTTACCTGGGGCACCCAGCCTGCATGGCTATGAGTATTTTAAGCAAGCACCACAGGTGACGGCTGAAGGCCCCCTTCCTGCCACCTCTTCCTGCCACCTCTTCCTGCCAAGCAGTGGATGTGGTCTGGGTAGAGCTGGGGCTTTGTTTTCGCTATGGAAACCCTGGACCTCAGAGGTTTCCCCAGCCTCGGTGAGGATGTGGAGCCTGTCTCCTAAGAACCTGGAATCTGGGGCAGAGGATTGTTTTGGCTACACCGCTGCCAAAGGGAAAGCAGGCCGGATGAAGCACTACCAGAGTCTTTCCGTAGAAGAGCTGAGAGCCTCCCTTACACCCTGGGGCCCTGGGGCTCCCTCGAGCTATCCCACTGATTAAACAACAGAGAAGTAAGTTTGGTGGAGATCTTTTTACATTATGAAGTTGTTTTACAACTTTTTACATTACGAAGCTCTCTGTTCCTTTAAATAGTCATCTCCCCCTAGCACTGCAACGTGCATCAAATCCAGATCTACCCTTTAATAAAGAGTGTATGGTAAGTTACTTCCTTTCCATACTAAACTTCTATTTGCTTACCTGCTCAATTTTTACTGGGAAAATTTCAAACCTAGAGAAAAGCTGAAGGGATAGTATAGGAAAATCTATAAATCCTTCATATAGAGTCACCAAGTGTTGATATTTTACTATTTGCTCTCTCTCTGTTTCTCTCTTCTGTATTTATGTGTGACAGGTATACTTATAAGTCTCATCAGTGGCAATATTAAATTGGGTCACCAGGCTAAGGAGGACACCATACACGCTAACACTGGTTACATCGACCTAAGCACCACACCACTTTCATTAATCAATTAGATTATGAAGTCCTTGAGTGTAAGAGCTGAGTCTTCTTTGGAAAAATAATGCTGTACAGTTTACAGGACTTGTTCATACAGACTGCTACCAGACTCCTGAGAAAGATGTTTTTATTCTCATTTTATGAGAACACAGCATCTCATCATGTTTAGGAGCTCAGACATGGAATCTTTCACCTATGCTTTAATAAATGTGTCTCCTAACAATTTACTTAACTTCTCTACTACACCTCTGTTCAGCCGCAGGATCGGGATGCAAGGTCTTCTTTGCAGAGTTATTACGAGGACCAAATGAAGGCCTTGCAAAGAAGGATGGCTTGGAGGCTGGGGTGAAGTTCGGTGGAGCAGTGTGGGATTGGCAGACTCAAGGCCCCGGGTTCAATCTCCAGCACAAAGAAAAAGAAAAAAGAAAGAAAATAGTTGACACAGTGTTTGCATACAAAGAACATTGAAACAGCGACAGTGCGATGGATATAAAGCTAAACACACATGCGCATGCACACTCAACATGCAGACCTGTGTATTAATGTGCAGCAAAGTCAGGGTCTGACCTGCGGTACTTGGCTGAATAAATAGCATGGCCCAGACGCAAAGCTCCATTTGCCTATCTCAGAATTCAAATCCTGCACTTCTCCACACAACACCATCCTGCTGGGGCCAGCTAGATTTGCTTTGTATGAGCTCCTTTTTTTTATTTTTTTATTTTATTTAATCTTTTTTATTTTTTGGTTTTTTTCCAGTACCGGGAATCGAACTCACGACCTTGCGCTTGCCAGGCAGACGCTGTGCCACTGAGCTAAATCCCCAGCCCCTGTATGAGCTACTTTATCAAAACCGTTTGAATAATGTATAGAAAAGTTAGACTTGATCTTGTTTATACCCAAGTTCCCATCTTCTTTACACCTAATTTCAATATGCATACTGCAAGACCCACTGTCCTGTTGTGCGGGGTCAGCCGCGGGGCCCTACAGTAAAGCCCTTTCTTCAGGAGCCTTGCTGTGAGCACCTCTGCTCCTTGCTGTGTCCCTTGGCAATCTCCCGACATACCAGATCTCACCAGCTAGGAGAGCAGTCACCGTGCTCCCAGGAGGCGGCACACTGTGTCCGGGTATGCTGCATGTTTGACCCCAAACATTCCCCTCCCTGCTTCGGCAGAATAATTGGTTCAGACTGGGAACAAGACTAGACAATTATCCTTGGTTAAAATGGAGAGACTTTCAGGGCCCAGGGCCCACGCGTTCTTTAGAAATTCCCATTCCTGCTCTACCAAGAGGAGGACCCTTGCTCCAACCCAGTCAGCACAGGAGAGATCCACAGCAGCAGCAAGCCACTGAGTCGGAGATATTTATCCTCGATGAACAGGGATAGGTCCTGCTAAGAACTAATTCCACGAGGCTGGGGTTGTGAAGTGTGGGTTTCCTATTCAGATGGGTATCTGGGGTGCAGGAAAGGAAGGAAAGGTCACATCTAGTGAAGGTTTAGCAGAGGATCCGGGCCTTGGGGACGGTGGGGCTGGAACTGGGGAGGAGGCAGACGGTAATTGCTGACTTGGAGGTGGGGGGTCACAGAGCACTTGCAAACTTCAGAGGCAGGATAGCACGAAGCCTGGCCAGGGCACCGAGGGACAGCGCGTGCAGGAAAGAGGAGCAGCCCTCCCTTCCAGACAAAGAGCAGACGGCTGAGGAGCAGCTGAATATTTCATTGACGGAAAACTGGACGCGGCCATGGAGCTTGGGGTATGGGTTCTGATTTCACGGCTGGTGCACCCAGGTGGCTGACGAGGCCAGAGAGAGGCTCCCCACCCCCAGCTTAGTCTCCTCCTCACAGGATGGGTGCGGATGCCAATCTTTGCCCAACGAGGTCAACAGGTATTCTTGCTCTGGATCTGGAAAATGAACACAGCCCCCACCGCAGCCAGACCCCATTGCCTCACGGGCTCGAAACCCACCTCTGTTCCAGTTATCTGGTGGACACCCTGCTTCCCTATCACGTGCCAGCCTCACGCTCGGCACAAAGGAGACACAGCTGTCTCCGCCTGGGGAGACGGCTTGGGCAGGCAGGCTCCCTAACAGGCCTCTCATTTGGAGACCCCAAACAAGGCGCTATGGAGACCAGAGGCCCATTCAGCTCCCTGGGCCCTCGCTCCTGGAGAAGGTGCCCCATGCAGATGCGCACCCCCTACAGGGAAGGGGAGGATGCTCACGGCATTAGGTGGGAAGGCCAGTCTTTGTCCCCTGTGCCTCCTAATCACGCAAAGGCATTCCAGAGGGAACATGTGCAAGAGAACTTACGTGAGAGAACCTGGGACTGCAGGGGAGACTTAGCACTTTGGGGAGGCTGGGGCTGTGGAAGAGCCAGGGGTGCTGCTGGGAAATGAGATGGGGGAGGGGACCAAGACTCTGTGTGTCGAATAACAGTGCAGACCTGCCCACTTAGCTTTGCAGAGTCTCTGAAGGGTGGCAAGAAGAGCAATGCCAAAGGTCCTCTGTTCTCCTTCTACCCGACGGCCTTTCCGGTCCTGGCGTCCTCTCCAAGCCCCAAACATGCCCCCTCAGCTCCGCAATACTGACGGTACACTCTTGCACGGGCCGGACACAGTTCTGGGCCCTGGGCGACGAGACAGAGCGCACTCCTGTGAATCAGCGAGGAGGGGATGGTTGTTACCAACACGCTAAGTTCTGTGACAGAAGGAAACACAGGGCCGGGGGTGGCGCTCAGCAGTAGAGCACGAATGAGGCCTCGGGTTCCATCCTCAGCGTCACAAGGCAAATAACAGAAATGGGACAACAGCAACGGAGAAGGGGAGGCTGCTTTCCTCTGGACCAGGGAAGACTTCCTTGAACAGACGACGTGGGGTTTGGGTGCTAGAGCAGCACCAAGGAGGGCTGAGGTATGGACTGGGGAGTCCAAGGAATGGCCTCCCGGAAACTGAGGCAGAGCCACTGGGTCCTGGGGCAACACACCTGGAAGACGGTGGCCACTGACTGGTATGGTGAGGCCTCTGGAAGCCCAGCAGATGCTGAGCTAGAGTTAGACCAAGAGCCCAGTCCCACGCTGGCACCAACCTAGGGACTGGGAAGGCCAGGTGGGGATGGGACCTGGAAGGGCTGCCGTCCAAAGTCTGCACTGGGGCCTGGGTGAAGGTCAAGACAGGCTCCCAGCATTCATGTAGGGCTGGTGATGAGTGCTTGCTCCTTTCCAGCTGGGAGTCATGGAAACCACTTGGGGGCCTGGAGAATAATATGGCAGCCACCCACTTGCTCAGAGGATCCGTTCCGCCTTTCCGTCCTGCTTCGGGCGTTTTCAAAGCCCAGCCTGCTCAGGGTTCCTCCAATTTCACAGAGCAAAGCACTGATCCCAGCCAAAGTTCAGGATCATGGAGAACCCAAGGCCGTGCCTGAGTAAGAGTGCAAATCTCTCCTCACAGATTTTCCAGAGATTCCGTCTCAGGCATTCTTGGGCTGACTAATGAGGAATTCAGTGCTCTTCCCCACACTCTTCTCTGCCTTTCCCCATGCGCACACCCTCCCCCGCACGCGTTTCAGAATCGTCTCTTTCTGTGCTGCAGTCTCTGCCTCCTCCTACCCCTCCTCTGCCACCTCCCTTCTGGGCAGGAGCGCACCAGGACATGAAAATGTTACTACAGGAGCCTCCCGGCCAGCCAAGCCCTGGTTCCTCAGAATGCACAGTTAAGGGACCTGAACACAGAGCACCGCCACCTTGGGCCCACTGCTCAGTCTTGCCATGTCTAACACGACCTAAGAAATGATGCCGTTGTACCCAGGGGCTTCTCCTCAAATTGTGCCCTGGCTCTCTCTGGGGAGCTGGCACTGCTGACTTAGGAGAAAGCTAACTCACTTTTTGTGGCTGGGGACCACGGATAGGGTCAGTTCCCGGGGATCAGCCACCGAAAGGGGTTTGGAAGGAGCAGAATATCCCTATAAAACATATATTCAGTCTGGGAGTGGTGGCACACACCTGGAATCGCAGCAAGCTGGGAAGTCAAGGCTGGAAGATAACAAGTTTGAGCCCAGCCTGGGTAATTTCGTGACTTAGTGAAATCCTGTCTCAGAAAAAGGGGTGGGGGCCTGGGGTTTCATGTGAAGGCCTTGGGTTCAATTTCAGTAACCCCCCCCACACACACACACACGTATTGGCACATGGGCTGCAGAGGGTCTGGAAAGACACTTAAACGGACCGCAAAATCATATATGCGTTTTTCCTGAGGGTGGGGGTATGTCTCTTTTGTCTAGTTCTCAAAGATGTGAAAGCCCTAAAAATGGCTATCCATTTTGTGTGGTAGGTAAGACAGGAAATTGAAATGTTTCTCCTCTCATTTCCCTCCCCTGTGGGTTTGAGTTTTATGCAATTCTCATGTTGGGGGAAGCTTGAGTCCACGGACACGTGGGGTGAGCACTCTGAATGTGCAGTGGCTTGGATAACCACTGAGAGAAGACTAAAGAAGACATGATGTCGCTCTTGAGGAGGAGACGCTGCAGCTGTCTGGAGTGGAGAGGGGACAATGAGGGATCACTGGCCCTGCACCCCACGGAGAGGCTGGAGCACCTTGCTGGAATCCAGTCCGGCTCTGCCTTGAATATGCAGCTCTGAAAGAGGTGCTATGCAGATTCCAAGCTGCCAGATCCTGGAGCCCTCGCGGGAGAACCTAGCCTGGAGCAGCCCAAAAGTCACCTGACATCCTGTGCCCTATCCAGGAAGATCAGGAGCCCTAAGTCTAGAGCCACTGCAGAGGCAGACCGAAGACAGCTCGGGGCGCCAACCCAGGCCTTCCCTGACCTCCTCCGGAGGGGAGGGGAGAACAGGGGCCTCACCCACCTACCCACTGGCCCCTGAGTCCCGTTAGCCCTTGGCATGGTAATTAATGGCCAGGAAGCGGTGCATCAGCCACAGCAAGCTAATGTGGCAGGAGCTCCCTCATGACAGCAGAGCTAATAAGAAATTTGCTAATGCAATTTATCACTTTAAAAAGCCATATGTCAGTGAGGATGAGCACTTCTCTGCAGCAACCAGTGTAATTGTCAGAGTGGAGCAGCCAGCAGCTCTCAGAAGGGGGTGAGGATGATGTCTTCACTAAATCAGTGGTGCAATGCAGCAAGCCGGTGGAGGGGTACTGGGGGAGGGGCAGCCCCGTCTGCAGCCCCCAGCCCTCCGGTTCCCAGGAAGCCACTCTCTGCAGGCCTGTGCTGAGGACCTGTTAGGAACCAGATGGGCCCTGAGCTCCAGTCGCTGCTGCCTTTATGCTAGAAGAACCTGCATTTAGGTTCCTGCCGCAGTATTAAAATAAGCTGCGGCTCCGTCTGCAGCGGCTCCGTCTGCAGCGACTGCCAATCTCTCTCCACCAGCAACACACCAGACCCTGCCTGGGCTCCTGCTGGATATTTGCTTTTCCTCAGCAACTGCATCCAGGACAAGACTCCTACCCCCGAGTCAGAAGCAGGGAAAGATTAGAAATCCACTGTCTTCTCCAGCAGAAACAAGAGCGTCTGGCTTTGAATGTTCAGTGTGTGGCAAAAACAGAGTGATTTCTGCAAGGGAAAAAAAAACGCTGTTGTGGGTTTTGTTTCAAACACTCCCTGTATTACCATTTTCCCCTAAAGCAAATTCACAGAAGCCAGTGGGGCGGGTACCCGGTGAGAATGGACTCCAGGGCTGGAGGGAGGCTGTCAGGGAGGCAGGCACATGCACAAGGCCAGATCCCCGGTCTTTGAATAGTCCACACTCTCAGTTACCTGTGAGAGTAAGAAGGCCCAGGGAGAGGAATAAGGGAGAGCAAGCCAACTCCCAAAGAAACATCACACCCAATTCCTACTGGTACTGTTTTCCTCTACAGCAAATTTTGACCATAACTGTTCCCTGTTGTCTACATTAATTCTGTGCATTTTAGGAGAGACAGCCAGGGAAGACAAAGCCCAGGGACCCAGATCATAACCCTTACCAAGATGAAATGCTGGGTTAGGGCCCTGGGTAACTGAGAGTCCTGCGCTGCCTTCCCCGCAGGAGCTCAGCTCGCATTCAAGGCACTGGGCTGCCTGGGGTGGGGATCACAGCCTCAGGGCACCCCTTTCCCTCCTGCTGCGATGGGAGAGACTGGGCACTAGGAATATTATTTAGGAAGGGGTTTTCAGGAAGCTCCCCACCAGCACCACACACCCTATCCAGTAAACTAAAGCCACCTGAAAGATCCCAAGGTCCTCCTTATATTCCCCTTACAATCACTTTACTATCTAAATTATTTATTTATTTGTTTGTCTATTAAATTTCCCATTTCACCTATGTTTATCGTTCCAAATTAATTTACGCATGTATTTGTTTCTTTTCATTTATTTTGATGCCGCTCTGGGAATTGAGGGCCATGCACACAATAGGCAAGGGCTCGGCCCCTGAGCTGCACCCTCAGCAGCCCCCCTCCCTTTTTTTGAGACTGGGTCTTACCACGCTGCCCAGATTGGCCTCGAACTTGTGATCCTTGGGAATCGTAAGCATGTGCCACTCTTCCCCTTCTCCAAGTCAATCTTAATACCATTTCTGCCAATTCAAAGCAAAGATAATCCTGTCAATATTTGACTGGGACTACACTGAATTTATTAGTTTAGAGGAAAATTTTCACTTTGTAGGACAGACAAAATTTGTACCTCTCTCCTCTTAGGGAGTTCAGCTGGACCTAAGAATTTAAATTGACATAAGACAAATTAACCAGAGAAATGCATACAAAGTTATTAAATACAAGTTATACACAGCACAGGAACCCTCCTAAGGAAAGATAGAGCCAAAGAAGCAGTTAGTAATGCACACGTATCTGCAGAGTTGGATAAAAAATTTTACAAAGTGCATTGTGGAAACATGACAAGGTAAGAGGCTAGGGCAGGGATAAGTGATCATGAGAAAACCAGGGTTGGTTTATAAGGTTGGCTTGTACAGAGACCTTGCAGCCTTGATTCTCCACAGCTGGTGATAAGGCTGCTGCCTTCCTCCGTCTTTAGGGAGGACATCTGTCATGTGGTGGTTACTGATTGTTTTTAGGAAGAAAGGGAGGATGAGAGCACCTTTCTCATACCTGCTATTTTCCAAGTGTCTAAGTTCAAGATACAGTGGTGCCTCGGTTTATGAACTTTCCATAATTCTGACTGAAAACTGAAGTGGATGAGAATCAAATTAAATCCTTTTTTTTTGGTACTGGAAATTAAACTCAGGACCTTGCACTTGCCAGGCAGGTGCTTGTGCTGCTGAGCTAAATCCCCGGCCTGAGAATCAAATTAAATCCAATGGTTAGGTTTAGAACGAATGTTTTCTCTTTTTTTTCTGCCTTTTTGAGACAGGGTCTCGCTATGCAGCTCAGGTTGGTCTTGAGCTCACTTTGTAGCCCAGGCTGGTCTCGAACTCACAAGGATCCTCCAGCCTCAGCCTCCCAAGTGCTGGGATTACAGGGGTGCGCCACCACACCCAGTGTCTACTGGTTAGGTTTAATGTTGACCTTCTGGGGAAATTAGATTCAGGTCTTATCCAATTCGGTTTGCGACCAGAATTGTGGGAAGAATTAAGATTGTGAACTGAGGTGGCACAGTAATCCTCACACAAAAGTGGCATATTCCGAGTTAGCACATTCTGGTACCCTTCCACTTTTACAAAATTGAATCTTTCCATTTAAAATATATGAAGAAAATAAATAAAATATATGTACCACAGGACATGGTGGCACACGCCTATAATCCCAGCATTTAGGAGGCTGAGGCAGGAGGATTATGACAAGTTTGAGTTCAGCCTGGGCTACATAGTGAGTCCAAAGCCAGACTGAGCTACATAGAAAGACCCTGTTTCAACAAACAAACAAGCACAAACCAAAAAAAAGTGTATGTACCACTTAAAGTCTTGTTATGTTTGTTTTGTTTTTCTTCTTGTTGCTTTGGGTTGTGGGTGTTTTTGTTTTTATTTTTGTTTTTGTTTTTGTTTTTCAACACAGGGTCTCACTAAGTGGCTAATCTGCCCAGACTGGGCTCCATTTTTGGACTCTTTTCCTTCGGCCTTCCAGAGTACTGGGATCACAGATGTGCACCAGCACTCCTGGTCCTGTCCAAGTGCTTTTAAAACTCCATTTGGCCCTGAATTACTTCCCTTAAGGATTTATTGGCCAAAGAGCCTACAGAATCTTACCTTGATGTCCAGAAAATTACATTTTGAGAGGGGGCTACCTAGGTACCTTAACTTAAACCAAAAGGCGCTGGGACGGCCACCTTGAGGTACGCAGGCCTTCACCCTGACCTAAACCTGAGGTCCTGGTGTGTCCTTAGTGTGATTCCACACTATAAGGAGCCCTTCCCTCAAGTCCCAGGAAAGTTTATATGTGTAATCCCATGAAAAGTTATTGGAATTCTAGCGAGTCAATTCCAATCTACCACATCCAGTGCAATCCATGGCGAGAATAAAGACACTAAGACCAATCTGTAGTTATGGGGAGCCGAGGGATCCTAAGTCCAGCCATGATGATGGCTATCTGGAACAAAGGCCTTGACCCAGGACAGAATCCAGATTTTATTCATTTGTGAGGAAGGGAGTGGCTTGAGGAAGAGTGACTGTGAGAATCTCAGGAAATACGTGACTGCCATGAGCTGGGCTAATTAGGAGACCTCTGAAATCACCTCTGCCATGTGCAGAGAGAAGGATGTGCAGAAAGAGTAATCCGCATAACACAATTGAGATAGCATCTAATGTTTTGGGGTCGGTGATTCAGCTCTGATGTGTAATCTTTGAAGCCGGCGGAAGTCATAGCCTCTCTCCCAAGGCTTGATCCCAGCGGACAGCGTGGAGCACTGGCTCTCACAGCCCGCCTCATCCTGACTCACTTGAGGAAGCAGCAGGGGTTGGGGAAACACGCCCGCCATCTCCAAAGATTACCATCAGCACCTCGGCTAGACTGACATGCTTTGCTTAAAGCTGCATGAAGGGGTAAGGAAAAGTCCTAGCCAGCTCTGCACACATCAACCCATGGAAATAGGGTCAGGCTCAGCCAAAACGGAGGCAATTGCTCCTCCTTCAAGGAGAGTCGCCCAGGTGGTCCTCCACACCACGCCACACACAGATGGGCAACAGAGACTCCAAGACCCAAAAATCTAGAACTTCCCTCACCCTTGCCCAGTCTGCATGGAGAGCTTGTCGGCCCAGGGAAGAGAACCAGGATATCCAAAGCACGGAGCTTGGCAGAAGGCAGGTCATTTCTGACCTTCGGCCTTTCTACCCCAAAGCCAAAAAAAATTCTCCCTACCCTCTCCCCTAAAGACCATCATGTGATAGGTGTGCTGCCCCAAACCCGGAGAAAAGGAAGGAAGGCACACAAGTGCAGAGGAGAATGTGAACACACAGGCCGCGCAGGGTTCTCCGTCCGGCACCCCCAGCGCGGAGCTTTGGGTCGCATCACACCTCGGCACACCTCAGTCGAGGCCTGAAAATAGTTCTCTCTTCATCCCTGGGGCTTCATTTCTGAAGGCTCCAGTGTCACATAAAACTAGTTAAATCAGTTTGTCCCACCCTCCTCTTGTAAATCTGTCTTTTGTTATAGGGGTATCAGGCATGAACTTTGTGTTGGGTGACTTTTTTTGTCTCTCCTGCAAAGGTAAAGTTCCTGCCTTTGAGGCACACGGGTAGGAGCCCACTTGAGAGGAGTTGGTGATGCAGAGGAAAACCCGGCCCAGTTCCGGATTCTCCTAGGTGTAGCCACGCCCCATCACGTGACCCGGGCAGGGTCTGCTTCTCGCAGGCAACTTGCGTGGTCACACCGGTCCCCGGACTTATTATATGAACCTTGTGCTTGGTTTAATGCTCTCCTGTCACCAGCTTGGAATTCTTAATAATTTTAAACACAGCACCCCACATTTTCATTTTGTACTAGGCCCCGACCCCCTGCAGCACTTGGAGGCTCAGAGAGGGCATGGAACAGCCCAGGTGGCACTTGGGATTGGGTAGGGGCAGCATTTAAGCCCCAGCAAGGCGAGGTGCAAAGCCAGGCCGTCGGGAGCCTCTGCTGAAAGTTCTGCCTTCTCTCTCTGCCTCCAACCGCAGGCCAGACCTCACTTCCACCCGCAGATAAGCCTGGCTGGTCAACTTCTAAGGGAACTCCTCATGGGGGACTCAGTACTCCCTCGTCAGCTCCGCTTCCGTCCTCCTTGCAGGGCTTGCCGGGAGCGGTTATCACCTCCGCAGGCGGAGTAAACCCTCAGCAACCATTCTGTTGTCAGGACTCCCTCAGCTGCGGGCCTGCTCGGTGTTCCCAGGGTTCAGATCCAGAAGTGAGTGTGCAGCCGGTGTTCTCTCCAGGCCTCCGTCTGCGCCGGCAGGAGGCGCACTTGCAGACCGTTAGCACATTGGTCTCCCGGACTACAGGAAACCACCACGGTGGAAGAAGAGAAGGACCCACGCTCCTGGCCTAATCCACTAGGGTTACCTACCACCAAGCCTTGCAGTCAGGCAGGAAGAGGGTGGCGGGTGGCAGCCTGGAAGCTCAGGGCCACGTGTTCTGGGAACCCTGCAGTGTGCCCTCCAACCACCAGTTCAGTCCCGGAGGCCAGAAGGACAGAGGCAGCTTGAGCAAGAAAGACGTTGGGACGCTGCTGGGAGGGTACAGGGTCAGTGAATCCCCTGGACAGCTGTCTTGGTTACTTTACATTGCTGAGACAAAATACCTGATGCCCAATATTAAGGAAGGAAAGGTTTATTTAGCTCACAGTCTGTGGAGGTTTCCGTCCATACTCGGCTGGCTCCAAGGCAGAGTGGCACATGGCAGAGGGCACCAGTTCATGGGGGAGGAAGACAGCAAAAGCAACAAGAGCAAAAAGAGAAGAGTGGGAAGCAGCCTCCTTCCCTCCCTTATACTGTATGCAAACTACCTGCCCCAGGGCAGGTGTAGCACTCACATCCATAATCCCAGCATTGGACCATGAATCAATCATAAACTCTAGAAGCCCGCCCCATGACTGCATGAAGCTTCCAGAAGCAGACCATAACAATAGCCCTTTCTAGAAGGACTTTCCTCCCGAGGCCTGCCTGCAAGCTTGTGACAGCAAGAGGACTGGTTTGTAATTGCCCAAGAAGAGCGGTAGAAGCAATGTGTTAAACTGGTTTTTTCACTCCCTCCATGTACACATTCATTCATCCCTTCACTGATTTAGCACTCACTGAATGCCTGGTCAGGGACTAGCTGGAAAATGTGTGCTGTGGTCTGGCCTCCAACAGCACAGATCCTAGAAGCGCTCTCCCCTGGATAAAGTCCCTGCAGCTAAGGCACATGGGTGGGTGTGAGAGCAGTTGCTGGTCCTGAGAAAAAAACCCTGCTCTGCCTTGGGTTCTCCTGATTGTAGCCAAAGGCAGCACACATGAAACAGCGGTAGAATAGAACATGCACATGGAATATAGGATGAGCAGTGACAGAGTATGTGGGCCGGCAATTAGTATTGAAATGCAGTTTAACAAATGGATCCTGAGGGCATGCTCTTTCAGTCAGTACTAAGATATACGCAGCGTAGTCCCTATATGGTCAA